GACAGTTGCAGGGCTAGTCAAAAAATTTGCATCAATAACGTCTACCTCCTGGCGCTCTCTGAAGCTTTGCGCTGCGTCACGAATGTCCTGCTGCTCGACAGTTAGGTTCTCCGTGTCATTGTTGGTTATATTGTAAAAGCACTCGGCAATAGCCTCCGCCTTTTCTTTGTTGGAGACGTATGTTTGGTCTCCGGCGACTAGCGTTGGAAAATAGTTATTCCTTGGCTTTATTCTCCTAGCTAGTTTCCAAAGGCTATTGTCGGATGCTTTCACGTTTTGGAGAGTATTGGCCCAGGTCTCATCGCGATAAGCCCGCAGATCATGCTTGATTTCAGTTCTTAGCCGATTGTACTCGGCTTTGTACTCGTCTCTACGATGTCTATCGTAGAGGCGCTTGTACCTATTTTTATCATTAATCTTATTGATGATTGCTGCAGGAATATCATCAATGGGAGCCTTTACCTTTACTAACCTTGTTGTTTTGTCGCGTGCGCTCAGCAGAACATTCGTAAAAGTGGTAACCGCTGCTTCCACCTCATCGCGCGTAGAAATAGCGTTATTGATGACTGTTACGTCATTTATTATATTGCGGAATCTACTCCAATCTGTGTTGGAGTATTTATATATAGGCCTGGGTGGCGGTGGTATTGGTACTCTGGTCTGCACTTTGAACATAACAGGTAGATGGTCTGAGTCAAGCTCAAATAGAGCTATTGGCTCGTCAGGTATTATTATATTTTTAGTAATGGCAATATCCAAGACGGAAGGTGTTTGTCCGTTCGTTGGATAGTGTGTTGGCTCACTCGGGTAGCTTAACAGGCATTCACTGTCCGTGATGTAATCATTGACCGTTTTGCCATTCTCGTTGGTCCTATTGCAATGCCAGACGGGGCTGGTTGCATTTAGGTCTCCAACGAGAAGGCACTTATTGAATGATAATAAAAGATCTAAGTCGTGAAGCGTGAAATGGTTACGAGGTGAATTGTAAGCTGCTACTAAATAAAAATTATTGACTTTGATTATTAGGTGTTCTATTGATGAGTTTGTGTTTCTGATTACAGTGTGAGGCACTTTATTGTTAACGATAATGGCTACACCGCCGCTCCGACGAGCACCCGGGCGGTCTTGCCTATAAACTTGGTGGTTTTTAATTTTAAATTTATCAGAGTTTATCAAAAAGGTCTCATTAATAACCATGATATCTACTGAGTGAGCCATTATAAAGTGAATTAAAGCGGTAGTTTTATTTTTCAATGAATTTGAGTTCCATTGAGCTATGTTAATATCCTGTCTAAAGGCAGCGAATTATATATCATACTTATCAACATTGAGTGCGAATTGTGCGAAAGTCGTAAAGACGCTGGTAGAATCGGAACATTTTTGGAGTAAGTCGTTCAGGTCTCGCACAGCTACTAGCATGTTCTGGAGGTTGACCAGTTGATTGAGACGGCCGAACTCTGAAAGTAAAGCGTTAAAATCTGATTGTGTGTTAGGGTTTGACTTATCTCCGTCAGTTCCTCGGGTTGCCATGACTTGCGGTGGTCTGGTTGAGCTGGTGGTGGTCTGAGTCCTTGTGGCTGCTTGCGACGTGGTTTGCGGTGCGGTGGGTTGCGATGCGGCTGCTTTTGCTTACGAGGACCAAATTCAAATTCAAATTCAAAAATAGTATATTTACAAATTATTTACATTATGTTTGGCATGTGTAGCCTTATGGTATTGCCTAATTTTTTTACAATATTAAGATAAGTAATACATAGTACACCCTTCTTTTTTCTTTCTTGCCGAAGAAGTTGCAGGTTGCAGGCGTCCTCGCACCGGTGTTGTGGTGAATACCGTAAGTACACTGCCGTCGTCATTGTTCGGAGATCGCTCACCTTACTCGCTCATGCAATTTTAGTGGCATTTTGATTTTTTGTGTGGTAAATTGTAAGCTGCTACAGTCAGAGGCTTTTGATTGTTGTTTAATTTTTGACTACTATTGTTACAGGAAAAATTAATTAAAAAAACCTGTTTGATAAATGGATTTAGTTTGTGTTGTTTGGTAAACAGCTATTAACATTTAATGGCTCGTTGCTTTGGTTGTTTTAATTTCGTGTGAAATTGTATATATTTGTATGTGTTTTGTGTTTTCGATCGAGCCGGCCAGGAATCAGAGCGGCCATCCGACGCCGCGCCGGGCCAGCTATTGGCCCAGCACTACGTCCAGTGTCTCCGCCCCGATGCCCCGCCCACTCGGTCGCGTTTGTTCATTTATTATTTGCTATGGTTATTTATGTGATTATTATCTATTATGTAGATTTTCATTGTAAATTTCTAATTTTTTATAGATTAGTCCATGTCTGGTGTTGATGTTATCGCTTTGTCTAATGTCTGTGAGGTGGCTGAGTAGTGGGTTTATTTTTAACTTGTATTTGTAAAATGTATTGCTTGATTGTAGGATATATTCTTTTAAATGTGGGATGCCTGTCATTGTGTGCATTTCATCAACACTGTCATATCTGCCCGAGTTTGTAACGTGACGCATTAGGCCGTTCTGTATTCTTTGAAGTGCTATGAAGTTTGTGTCTGACATAGAGCACCACGCTGGATGCCCGTATGTGATTATAGGTCTTATTAGGGTTTTATATAATATTACTTTATTTTTTATTGATAATTGGCTGTTTTTTTTTATTAGTGGGTATATTTTTTTCATTGTTGTGCAGAGTTTTGGTTTTAAGCTATTTATATGTTTTGTGAATGTTGTCTTGTTATCGAGTGTTATACCCAAATACCTGACGAATGGTTTTTCTTGTAGTGTTATGTTGTTTAGTTTTATAGGTGTAATAATTCTATTGTTTGTATATTTTTTTGAAAAGTGAATTAATTCTGACTTTGTGTCGTTTATTTTAATTAACCATTCGTCGAAGTATTTGGTTAGCATTCTTAAGTGTATTTTTATTTGGGTCGCTGCAACTTGTGAGTAATAGGAGCTGGCGTACAGGGTTGTGTCGTCTGCATATAATCCCAATTTTGTATGAGAGAAAGTTGGGATGTCTGACGTATATAAGCTGTACAATTTTGGGGCGAGTACAGTTCCCTGTGGTACGCCAGCTCTTATTTGTTGCATTGGGGATGTTTTGTTATTTATTTTTGTTTTGAATGTCCGGTTACTTAGATATGATGCCATGAGCCGATGAAGTGGGCTAGGGATCTCGAGCTGTCTCAGTTTGTACAGCAGTCCGCACAGCCAAACTTTATCGAAGGCCTTCTCGATGTCCAGCAGGACCATGACCGTGTTCTGGCCACGGTTATTCGCCTGCTGAACATCGTGAATGACCCTCACTGCTTGGTGCACGGTGCTGTGTTTTGGTCGGAAACCGAATTGTTCATTCGGTGTTATAGTGTGTCGCTTGTCCCATTTGTTTATTTTTTCTAGGATTATTCTTTCAGCTACTTTCGATGTTGCACTTAATAAACTTATGGGTCTGTAAGCGCTCGGGGAGGATGGGTCTTTACCTGGTTTCAATATTGGAATTATGGTTGCAGTTTTCCACTGTTGTGGGAAGTATTGTAGTTTGAATATTGCGTTAATCACGTAATTGAGCTGAACTATTGCCTTTTTTGGTAGGTTTTTTAGAAGAATGTTTTCAATTCCATCCTCTCCGGGCGCTTTGTTGTTTTTTAGTTTTTTTATGGTTTTTTTGACGTTTTCCGGTGTGGATAAATATGTTTTCATTTGGTTAGGCAAAAGTGGGGTGGGATTTGTTGTCAGTAGTTTGTTTATTTCTTCTTCTATTTCGTTTTGTTTTTGGGTGGCGTTAGTTAGGTCTGTAGTATGTATATTAGCAAAGTGTGTGGCTAGGATAGTGGCTTTTTCTTGGTTTGTGGTAAATAGATTATTGTTGTAATTGATAGCTGGTATTGTGTTATCTTTATTGTTCTGTAATTTGTTTATTAGTTTCCACAGACTGTTGTCCGATGGGCTAAGGTTATTTATTGTGTGGGTCCATAGATTTTCGCGATATATTTTTATTTGGCTCTTTATCTGGTTTCTTAGTGTATTGTATATGTTTTTATTTACTTGGTTTTTATGGAGATTGTATAGTTTTTTGTGTTTGTTTTTTTCTTTAATTTTGTTTATTATGTCCTGGGGGAGTGAATCATGAGGATTTTTAATTTTTTTGGTTGTTGTTGTTTTATTTCTCGCGTTTATTATGTTTTTTGTTAGTAATTCAACAGCTGATTCTAGTTCTTGCGCATTGCTTATGTTATTATTAATTACTATTGTTTCGTTCAATATTGTTCTGTATTTATTCCAGTCTGTGTTTTTGTAGCTCACAAAGGTATCCGTGGCCGGTTTGGGGGTCCCCAGAGCTATTTCGACACAGACTGGAAGGTGATCTGAATCGAGTTCGTGCATTGCTTTGATAGGTTTTGTGATGTTAATGTCTTGTCTTAGTGTTATATCTATTGTACTTGGGGTCGTGTTGTTATCTGGATAGTGGGTAGGTTCTGGAGGAAAATCAATACAGCAGTTATTGTTATTCACGTAGTTATATAAGGTAATGCCGTTTGGGTTGTCCCTGTTGCAGTCCCATGCCGTATGTTTGGCATTGAGATCGCCCAGGATAATGTATTTTCTGTAGTTAGTGAGTGTATTTAGGTCATTGTCTGTGATTTTGTTGTTAGGCGGGTTATATGCACCAACAATGTAGATATTTTGAATTTTTATTATTAAATGTTCGATCGTTGAGTTTGTTTGTTTTATTCTTACATGTTCGATATGTTTTTTTTATTAGGATTGCTACTCCACCGCCGCGATGGTTGCCTTGGCGGTCTTGTCTATGTGTAATATACCCTTTTATTTTTAATTTATCATTTAATTTTAATTTAGTTTCATTTAGGATCAAAATATCTACATTGTGCATGTTGAGGAAATTTATCAATGTTGATATTTTATTTTTAATGCTATTACAATTCCAAGTGATTATTTTGGTTGTTTTATTAATGTTAGGAGCCATTTAAATGTTATAACTGTTTACCTTGTTTATAGTAAATTCCATAAATGTATGGAATCTGTCAGCTCGTGTGGTGCAATATTTTAGGATATTAGTTAGGTCTCTGACTGCTTGCAGCATGCCTTCAAGATTGATGAGTTCTCCAAGGTGACCGATCTCTGAAACTAAACTGTTATAATTATTTATGTTGCTGTTGTTTGCAGTGTACTTAGCTTGTGTGGTTTGGTGCGGGGGGCCTGCTTTTCGACTGTTGGTTGCTGTGATTGCTGAGTAGACTGCAGCTTTAGTTGCCTGGCTGCCCAGGCGTTGGTCTCCGGTGGTGGGGCTTGGGTGTATGTCTTGGATTGTTGCGGTTTAGTTTTATATCTATCAGCTATTTGGGTTATTTTATATAGGTAGACTGGGCAGTCTACGCTATTTGCTGGGTGGTTTCCTTCACAATTTGCACAGGTCGCCGGTGTGTCTTTGCTTTTGGTGCAGGTGTTGGTGGGATGTTCTTTGGCGCATTTGAGGCATTTGAATTGGTTGTTGCAATTAGTCGTTGCATGCCCCCATTCTTGGCATCTGTGACATTGTATTATAGTTCTTTTGTTTTTCTTTCTTTCCCAGAAAACTCTTGTGTGATCTATGTATTGTACGTTGCTATTCAGCCACTGTAGTGTGACGGCTGAGCTGGTTGTAATCATGTAGAGTGGTCTGTGTGTTTTTTTTAGTTCAAATATATTGTATGTTTCGAGTTGTCTTTCTTTCAGTAGTGCTTCTTTTAGTTCAGGTATTGTTATTTTGGCGTCAAGTCCACGCATGACGAATGCGTGGGTTTTTTCGTCTTGAGGTGTATATGTGTGGAAATTACTGTTGTTTTCTTTCAGTATTTCTATGTAGTTGTTGTATTCTTCCTTTTTTTTTATGTTGATTATTGTGTTGTATTTTGTGTGTTTCACTGTGAAGTCTGTTAGGTTTTCTTTGAGTGTTTCAATTGTTTCTCTATGTCTCATATCAGTTTTGCCTGCTATGATGATAGGTGGTGGAAGATTAATATCTTTTTTGGTTGTTGTATTTGTGCGATATGTTCTTGGTCTGGTATTTTGGTTGTTTTTGTTTGTTTCGGTGTTTGTTTGGCTTGTGCTCGGTGTAGGTTCATTATTTTCAGCAAGAGTTTTGTCATTCGTTTTATTAAGTGCATCGAATTTATTTTGCGTGGTTATCTCTGCCTCTTTGGCTTTTTTCCTGATTACTGTGGCCGTTGATATTGTTTTTCTGGGTTTAGTGAACTTTAATTTCTTCTTTGGATTACCTTCTTCGTCTAGTTCAATGTCTTCATCGTTTTCATCGGTTGTTTTCTTTGTTTTTGTGTTATTTTGATCATCGGTGTCCATTTTGTTGGAGTTTTCACCGGTTTGTGCTATTGTTTGGTGGGTATTGCTGCTGGTGCTTGTTATTGGTTGTGCTAAGCTCGTAGTGGGCGTGGTTACCGTTACTGTGGTAGTAGCGATGGTGGCTGTCGCTGTGGTGATTGTTGCCGTGGGCGTGGTTTGGGTTTTCATTGCGGTGGGACTGCCAAGTTGTCTTTCGTTCTTTCTTATTGGTGAGCGCGATCTTGTTCGATGCGCACTTCGTTGTTGATTGGCTGGCGGGATATTCTCCTTATTAGGAATTTTTGTTGTGGCGCTATCTGTGTAATTTTGTTGAATGTATTGAATTTGCGCTTTGATTCCGTCTAGCGTTTCTTCTAAGTTGGGCGCTGTTCCGCTAGATGGGGACTTAGTATATCGTTGTCCAAAATGTGTTGATGTACAGGGTGGACTTTGGCTTTGGTTATGTATGTTTGTGCTGTTTGGACTCACGTTTTTGAGAATTTTGATTCTTTCTTCCACTGTGGGGCTGACTATGATCTTCTTTCCTCTTCCTCTGCCGACATAGCGGCGGGTGTCGTCTTGGGGAAAGTTCGAATCGGCCGTGGCACTAAGTAGTGTCCGCACTGTACCGAGTCACTTTCACTTTTAGGTTAGTGTCACTCGCACTGTTAACTTGCAATAACTAAATAACTACATTGTTCTTCTTAAAACTAATTAGTACACTATGTAAGTCTCTATCTTCTTTCCATTTGGAGCGTTTTTCACGATTTTTAATCTACTTTTTACTGCTTTTTTTCGCACTTTTCTGCACACTGGATTTTAACACGCCCTCTCACGAGGACCAATCAATCAATCAATCAATATAAGTTTATTAACAATTAATATCACAGTAATTACAATACATAAGGTAACATTTACAAGTCATTTCATGTGGGGGGGGGGTACCTAGAACAGGGGTGCCTAGCACATTCTAGGTATTTGTGACTGGTCTGTGAAGCTTCACTCTATGTATGGTAGAGTGTCGCAACACAGCCTGGCTGATGTTGTGCCATATAAATAGTTCCAGATGTATTTTCAAAGTTTTCAGTGAACAGCTCGCCATTCCCTTCGAACAAGCGATTAAGGGGCTATATGGTTTGGTTGATAGGTATGGTAGTTGACGGTTCAGAGACTGTGCTTCAGGGGATGTTTATGAATTAATTTTTAAAGGGAAAAGTGCAAAAACCCTTTTTGAGAAAATTGCCATAGTTTATTTTTATGGTGTGCTAAATTATTAGCAGTTGAGAATGGTTATTTTTTTTATTTTGTATTGATTTTTGTTTTAGTTTGCATCCAATGATGCTTGGTTTGGTTTTGTGACAGCACGGCGCGCTCAAGCATACCGAGGTAGGTCGGGCATGTGCCATACATTCGACCCCCGTGTGGCATTCAGGAGCGCAGCGCGCTGGCATTTGACCAAACTGTATTGGGTATTAGAAAATAAAAGAAATTTTTGTAAATTTATTTTATTTTGTTTGGTTGTTTTTTTTTGTATTTTTGTTTTTATATATTTTTTTTTGTTTTTGTATTTTTGTTTTTTGAAAAAAAATTTTTTTTATTTTTTTATTTGATTTTTTATTTTTTTTTTGAAAAAATTGCAATAATGTCATTTTTTTTGATTTATTATTTTTGATTTTAGGGTATTAAAATGATTTTTATTTGTTTGTAAAGGGCGCAGAATTTCCGTGAGCCGCCCCTGTGCTCTACCTGGAGTCCGGGCCTGTGCCTCGTATTCGAACTCCATGCATGAGTCCAAGAGCGCCACCTGTTGGTCCGCGCGAGAATTAATTTTGTTGAAGTTATTTCAGCGGTGAGAGATACGGTGCACGCACCGTTGTCACCGCTGAAATTTTATTAAATCGCCTATGGAAAATTTTTGGGAATTTTGGAGTAGGATTTTAGTGGGAGGTAGGGTGAATTTTTTTGCGTATTTTGAATGATTTTTTGATTTTTGCATTTAATTTATTTTTTTTGTGCACTGTGCGTTCTATTTATAGAATGGTGCCGGCGCCTATTTGCTTTGGAATGCGGGGCTTCGTACACAATTTTTTGTTGTTTAACATGAATTTTGCATAAATTAATAGAGGAAATGGTAGGTTCATTGGCCTTTTGTGTTGTTTTGTTGGTTTTAAAGAGTATATCTTCTTTAATTTTGGTATTTATTATTGTTTTATATTTAGTAAATAGATTTAATTGTGCTGTTATATTATTATAATGTGTTATTTAAGTGTAGTGGTGAGACCAGAATTAGTTGTTGGGAGGGGGAGGGGGGAGGGGTTCGTGGAATATAGGGAGCCTGCCATAGATTAACCTATGTTTGTAATGGATGTTATGCATTTGCCTTAAGCTTGTGATGTTAGATGTTAGGGGTGAGTTCTTAATTTTGTATTTATAAAAATCATTAGAAATCCTAAATACAAAATCTTTTATTGATTCGATGCCTGTGGTTTCGTGCATCGCGTCTACTGAGTCGTATCTTCCTGCACTTGTAACATGGCTTAGTGCCTTATTTTGCAGACGCTGTAAGTGGGTATATGATGTGTCAGGTGTGGAGCACCATACTGGGCAGCCATATGTTATGGTGGGTCTTACCGCTGTTTTGTAGAGAATTGTTTTATTTCTTACAGACAGCGGGCTGTTTTTGTTAATTAATGGGTAAACTTTGCTGATGGCATTGTAAACCTTTCCTTTCAGCGTATGAAAGTGAGGCTGGAAGGTAAGTCTTTTATCGAGGGTGATGCCCAGGTATTTGGCTGTGTGAGTTGGTGGTATATAGACATTATTCATATTTAATGTTGAGAAAATACGATTGTTTGTGAATTTGACGCTGAAGTTTATGAGTTCTGTTTTGGAATGGTTAATGGTGATTTTCCAGTCTTCAAAAAATTTAGTTAGCGATCTCAGATAGATTTTTAACTGGTTAACAGCCACCTGGGAATGGAAGGATGAGTTGTACAGGGCAGTATCGTCGGCAAACAGGCCGATTTTGGTGTGTATCGACTTGGGGATATCTGCCGTGTACAACGTGTAAAGTTTTGGGGCGAGTACTGTGCCTTGAGGGACTCCCGCCCCAATTGGAAAGTGTGGTGAGGTGGTGTTATTGATTTTGATGGTAAACGTTCTATTCGAGACAAAAGATTGAAGTAGTCGAACAGTTTGGGCTGGGATTTTTTGTGTGTGTAATTTAGCAACCAGGCCATCATGCCAGACTTTGTCAAAAGCTTTTTCGACATCAAGCAGAGCCATTACTGTGTTCTGCTTTTTGTTAAAGCCCTGCTTGATGTCGTGGACAATTCGGGCAACCTGGTGATTTGTGCTTAGGCCTGGTCGGAACCCAAACTGTTCGGGCGGTGTTATTTTCAATCTTTTGTCTAGGATTTCTAAATTTCTTAATATTACCCTCTCTAGCACCTTGGAGACGCCGCTCAAGAGGCTGATAGGTCTATAGCTAGCAAGGTGGACGGGATCTTTGCCGCTTTTATGCATCGGCACTATTACTGCATGTTTCCATGCAGTTGGGAAGTATGAATTTTTGATGCAAGAGTTGATAATATATGTTAGTTGCACGATGCATTTCTGCGGCAAATTTTTGAGTAAGATATTGTCGATCCCGTCAGCACCTGGTGCTTTACTATTGGGCAGGCCCGCAAGGATGCCAGAGAGCATGTTGGGGGATGTGAGGTGTCTTGGGTCGACAGGTGGCTGTGTGTATTCAGCGTCAAATTCACGGAAAACGTTGATAATCTCGCGGTGTTTGGGTGTCATCGTGGTTAGATCAGTTGTATGTATGCCTCCAAAGTACTCACCCAGAGCCTGTGCTTTTTCTAAGTCAGTTGTTAATAATCGATTACCTAGGGTTAATGTGGGTATGCCAGTTTTTGGTTTTAGCCTTTTTGCCAAAGACCAAAGGCTGTTGTCAGATGGACTAAGATTTTGTAGTAAATTACCCCAGACAGCATCCCTGTGTTCTCTAATTTCGTCATTGATTTGACGTCTTAGGATGTTGTATTGAACTTTGTAATAGTACAACCCATGCTGGTTGTATAATCGCTTAAATTTGTTTTTATTTTTGATTTTTTCTGTGGTTGTGTCAGGGATGCTATCTAGGGGGGGTTTAACTTTAATGTTTTTTGTCGTGCGATCTCTGGCACTGGATAAGTTCTGGGTGAAGACTTCGACAGCTGTGTCTATTTGGGCGTTAGTGTTTAGGTGTGGATTAATTTGTGTGTTTAACTTGAGATAATTCCTATATTGCAGCCAGTTGGTGGATTTATAATTGTATATTTTTTTGGGGGGTGGGGGTGGGTTAATTTTGGTTTTTAGAGTGTAGAACACCGGTAGATGGTCTGAGTCAAGCTCGTGTACCGGCTGAGGTGCACCAGCGAGTTCTACACTCTTGAGGATGGCTATGTCAAGGATTGAAGGATGGGTTTGGTTGGGTGGGTAGTGGGTAGGTTCGTTGGGGTAGGCTAGGGTGCAAGTTGTGATGTCAATGAAATCGAGCAAGATTGAACCGTTGGCATTGTTTCTGCGACAGTGCCGGAGCCTGTTGGTAGCATTGAGGTCACCAAGCAGGATGGCTTTGTCAAACCGGCTGAAGAAGGGGGTAATATCCAATAGGCTAAATCTATTGGCAGGGGGGTTGTAGGCAGCTATAATGTGGATATTAGAGACTTTGAGTATAATATGCTCGATGGTTGAGTTGCATTGCTTAAGGCGGGTGTGGTTTATGTGAGATTTAACAAGAATAGCAACTCCTCCACCTCTGTTGGCGTTAGGGCGGTCTTGTCTGTGTGAGGTGAAGCCTTTAATTTTTAATTTATCTGTAGGTTTGAGTTTGGTCTCATTTATGATTAGGATGTCGACTGGATGGGTGTTGAGGAAGTGGATAAGGGAGGGTATTTTATTTTTTAAGGAATTGGAATTCCATAGTGTGATTTTCAAGTTTTTAGGTGGCATTTTAGATATCGTAGTTTTCTAAGCTGTATATCATAAATTGTGATATTATTGCGAATTTTTCAGTTTTGTTTTGGGCAGGTTTGATTAGTTGGCACAAGTCTCTTACAGCCGTCAACATACCTTGCAAGTTACACATGCTGTTAAGGATGGCGAACTGTTCGGAGAGTTCTTTGAAGTCGTTAGACATGCTAGGCGCCCCTGCTGTGGTGCGGTGGGGGGGCTGCGTGGTGCTGATGCTCCGTTGGGTGGTGGGCTGGTCTCTGCGTTGGGTTTGTGGCTCTGGATGCTGGGCTTGGGCTGCATTCTGCCTGGCAGTCCAGTAGTTGGTTGTTGGGGGTGGTGCGTCGGTGTACTGACGAGAGGCAGGCTGTGCAGGGTTTCTTTTTTCCAGCATTTTGACCTTGTAGATGTAGACTGGGCAGATTTCTGAGCAGGCGGTGTGGGCACCGCCGCAGTTGGCGCAAAGAGCTGGGAGGGTGGAGCTTTTGGTGCAAGTTTTGGTGAGGTGCTCCTTGGCACACTTCATGCATCTTACGGCCCTGGCGCAGTTTGCTGTGGCGTGTCCCCAGCCCTGGCATCGATGACATTGAATGACTCTCCTTCCCTGGCGTCTGGTCTCCCAGTAGACTCTGGTGTTGATGAGATGCTTGATTTCTGTGTTAAGGTAGGAGAGGGTCACATTGGGGCTTGTGACCAACATGAAGAGTGGCCTGAATTTCGTTGTCAATTGGTAGAGGTTGTGGACTGGAACTTGCTTCTCTTCCAGTGCCTCCTGGATGTCGGCTGTGGTGACGTCGGGTGCGTCCATCCCTCTGATGATGAAGGCGTGCGATTTGTCTGCTTCCAGCGTGTAGGTGTGGAATTCTTGTTCGTTGTCTTTTAGAGCCTCTAGCATGAGCTTGTAGTCTTCTACCTTGTCGATGTCGAGGATCATGTTGTTTTTGGTGTATTTGATTTTGAAGCCACCATTTATGACTTCTTTGATGGCTCTTACGCCATCTTTGTGGTTGTCGAATTTGGCTGATACGATGATTGGTGGCACGGGGGTCTTCCTTCTGGCTGGTGCAGTTCTGCTGGCTGGCAGGCTGCTGTCTGGGCGGGTTGAGGGGCCTGGCATAGGCTCCTGGGGGCGACGCGGGGCCTGGGTGGTTGTTTTGGGCTGGGCTGGGTCCTGAGTTGCTCCTTGGGGTTGTTGTTGGCTCAGTGTGCCTTCCTGGGGGTGTGTTGGTGGAACCTGTATGACAACGTCATGGGTATCAGTGGAGTCTGTGTTATTTACGTTATTAAGGGTCTGGAATTGGTTGTTAAGGGGTAGTTTTGTGGGTTCGATTGGGTAAATTTTGCTGGGGATTTTTTTGAAAGGTATAAATTTTTTAGGTTTTTTGAATCCGTCAGCGTTTTCGTGTTCGGGTTCATTTTGGGGGGCTGGGGGTGCGTCGTTGCCTCCTTGGGGGTTGTCATCTCCTGAGAGGGTGCTGGGGTTGTCATCCATAGGTACTGCTTTGGTGCTCTGGTCGTTGCCGGCTACGTACTCTTCGTGTAGCTTTTTAATGTCCATATTTGGGGATGCTGTTTTTGCTGGTTTTTGTTTTTTGCGTTTTTGCTTATCGTCGTCGGCGTGGCGGAGCTGAACACTGGAATCTGTGTCGCTGCCGTAGTTGTATTGGGTGGCACGTTTTTTAGTCTTCTTCTTCTTTTTAGTTTTGATCGCAAGATGGCTGTTCTCTGCGATGTTGGGATCTGTGGCCGCTGGTTCTGTTCCAGGCTTATTTGATTGTTGTCTTGGAGAGGTGCAGGTATCTGTAACGCTTCCCAGGGTGTTAGACAATTGAAAATTACTGATTAATCTTACGGATTTTCCTGTTGCCGATGTTATTGTGAAGCCACGATTTTCTTTGTCGTACGGCTTTTGGAAGGAAGCAGAGCTGCCTGCTTTGTGGGAGCTGGGTGATGGGGTCCTCAGCTTCTTTACCAATTTCTCAATTTCGCGACCTACATCGTAGGGCGGGGAGTTCAGCTTCTGACCACTAGATGGCGCCGGTGTTGGGGAGCTCTGCACGCTTGGAGTTTTGGAAATTGCTGTTTCTAAGGCCCTGGGCTTACTTGGATTGGTTTTGGAGAGCTGGTCCTCTCCGGGGGGTGTATGTAGGGGTGGGTCTCCAGTTGTGGGATCCCACGTCCTCTCCAGCCTCGCTTGTGAGGCTTGGTCAGGTCGGGCACATGGTCCGAAATTACGGCACTAATAAGCGTCCGTTGGGGCTACCTCCACTTGTAGGGGTAGTTTGGGCACTGCACAACACAATCACGATCACATTGAGTCTTTTTTCTCGAGAATTTTACGAATTATACACTTTTGTTTCAGAACGACAAAATGCACGTCATACACGTACTATACAGGGCGGATCTTTCTCACGAGGACCAAATCAAATCAAATCAAATCAAAAACATATATTTAAGAATTAATATCACAGATTGTACATGGAAACAATTTCACAAAGAAGCTACAGATTTACAACACAATTCAACATATATAACAATATTATTGATTCGTTGCAAAGGCTGCATCCAGGCGTCGCGACGTCCCAGACTGCTGACGTTGGTTGTCATCTTTGCTCGTTGGTTCCATTTTTAGTTTGTTGGAGTTCGGCCATTCCTTTCGCTGAGCGATTTAGGGGCGAGCGGAGTCCGTGACTTGTGTCGATAATTAATAAAATATTGGTCGTTTGAGGCTATAAACTTTAGAATTATTGCCTGGGAAAAACTTGAAAAACCCAGTTAAAAAATTTTGTTAACACTTGTCAGTCACCGAACCTTTACGGAAATAAAGGTTCGGCGACCGTTGAAATAAGGGTGTAGCGACAGTGTTCGTCGCCACACCCCTATGCATATAAAGGTGTGCCGTTGGGGCGAAATAAAGGTGCAGCGACCGAATCGGTCGCTACACCTTTATTTTGTAAAGGTGTGCCGACGGCACAAATAAAGGTGTAGCGACCGTTTATCGGTCGCTACACCTTTAAGTTGATATAAAGGTATGGTGTCGGTTTAAATAAAGGTGTGGTGACGGGCACTGCCGTCGCCACCCCTTGTTTGTGTGTTGTGCCATATGTGTTTTTGGGGTGCATTTTTTGTGTTTTTAATTGTGTGTTACGAAAAAGTGTTTTTGACTTTTTTCTGATTTGTCAGATAAAGAACCCGACGAGTAGACCCGCTGCATTGGCGCAGCTTGCAGTGATAATTAATAGGTGCTTTGTGGTCGCCACGTCAGGACGCGGCAGCCGTTTTTCCGCGCTTATATATATGCACTATGTGTTTAAAGTAAAACACAAGTGCTATGTTTAGAGCCTTCTTGGCTGCATAAAAATAGGCAAAGTGCCGTAAATTAACCTATGCTTGTACAGCACATTGTCCATATGCCTTAGGGAGGTGATGTTGCGTGTCAATGGGCTTTTGTCAATTTTGAATGTGTAAAAGTTATTGGCGAGTCTTATTATATGATCATGAATGCGTTCTAGCCCTGTCATGTCGTGTAAGCTCTGCTCAGTCTCATAGCGCCCGCTGTTTGTTACATGGCGAAGGGCCTTGTTTTGTAGGCGTTGCAAAGATGTCATTTGCGTAACTGACGCAGAGCACCAGGCTGGGCAGCCATAAGATATAACTGGCCTGATGCATGTTTTGTACAATGTCAGCTTGTTTTCGGTAGAGAGCGGGCTGGTTTTATTAATAAGAGGATAAAGTGCCTTAAGGGCGGTGTAAAATTTAGCTCTTATTGACTTGATATGTGGGACGAAAGTGAGTCTGCTATCAAAGTGTATGCCTAGGTATTTGGCGGACGGCGTTGGTAGAATTGGGGCATTATTAAGAATGAGTGGCGTGAAAATTCTATTGTTGGTGAATTTCACGGAGAAATTCACCATTTCAGTTTTGCTGTGGTTTATGCGTATCTTCCACTTTTCGAAATACTTCAACAAGGTGTTGAAGTATATCTTTATTTGACTGTTGGCCACTTGGGAGTGAAAAGATGACGCATAAACCGCAGTGTCGTCCGCAAAGAGGCCTATCTTTACGTGGGCAGATTTAGGTATATCTGATGTGTATACCGTGTATAATTTTGGGGCAAGGACCGTGCCCTGTGGGACACCGGCTCTGATTCTGAACACAGTGGATTTTTCTCTGTTGACGCTGACCTGATAGGTTCGGTCGGACAGGAAGGACGAGACCAATTTAATGACTTGGTTAGGTACTTGAAGTTTAATCAGCTTGGCCGTCATACCATCCAACCAGACCGTGTCGAATGCTTTTTCGACATCAAGCAGGGCCATAACTGTGTTTTTACCACCGTTATAGGCCTGCTTGATGTCATGAGCGATTCGCACAGCCTGGTGAACTGTACTTAAGCCTGGCCGGAAGCCGAATTGTTCCGGCGGTGTTATGCGTCTTTCTTTGTCCACTGTGTTCAGTATCTTTAGTATCGCCCGTTCAGCAACCTTGGAAAGGTTGCTTACTAGGGAGATAGGCCTGTAGTTCGTTGGTAAAGAGTGGTCCTTGCCGACTTTGGGTAGTGGCACAATTATTGCGTGCTTCCACGTTTTAGGGAAGTAGGCCAGTTTGATGCATGCATTGACTATATACATAAACTGAACTATGGCCTTCTGTGGTAGGTTCTTAATAATGATGTTATCAACGCCGTCCGCGCCAGGGGCTTTGTTATTAGCAAGGTATTTTATTATTTGCTTTATACTGTTTGGGGTAGAAAGGTATTTAGCGTTGGAGTCGTTAAATAGATGTGCATTTTGGCGGAATTCATGCGCGACATTTACTATTTCGGTTTGCTCTGGCGTGAGGTTATTTACGTCGGTGTTCGTGATTTCGTAAAAGCAGCCAGCAATAGCCTCTGCCTTGTCAGCGTTGGTGACATGATGTGTACCTGCGGTTATAATAGTGGGAAATACTTGGCTTCTGGGTTTGATCTTGCGTGCCATTTTCCACAGGCTATTGTCGGCTGCTTTCAGATTTCTCACCGTGTCGCCCCAAACTTGGTCTCGATACTCCTGCAGATCGTGTTTGATTTGTGTTCTAAGATCGTTATATCTATCTTTGTACTCGGCTATACGATGGTTGTCGTATAGTCGTTTGTAACGATTTTTATCGCGGATTTTGTTACTGATGTCTGCAGGAATATCGTCAATCCGTCGCTTGGTTTTAATGATTTTGGTTGTTTTGTCGCGCGCGGATATTATAATTTTAGTGAAATCAGCGACTGTTGACTCGATTTTGGCGGGCGTGTCAATAGTGTTGTTCATCGTGATTTTGTTGTTAACAATTTCGCGGAATTTGCGCCAGTCTGTGTTTGCGTAATTGTAAGTTGGCCTGGGTGGCGGTGGAGGGTCTATCTTGGTTTGAATTTTGAACATGACCGGGACGTGGTCTGAGTCAAGTTCGTGCAAGATTTTTGGATCTTCGGTCAAAATAACATCTTTTATGATGGCAAAGTCAAGTGTCGAGGGGGTTTGTCCGTTTGTCGGGAAATGTGTCGGCTCACTCGGGTATGCGAGCAGGCATTCGCTGTTTGCGATGTAATCATTGACCGTGCGTCCATTCTCGTTGGTCCTGTTGCATTGCCAGACTGGGCTGGTTGCATTCAGGTCTCCAACGAGAAGGCATTTATTGTTAGAAAGAAGGATGTCTAGGTCTAATTGACTGAAATGTAGCGCAGGTGAATTGTATGCTGCGGTGATTACTATATTATTTATTTTGACAATTAAGTGTTCGATGTTAGCGTTTTTGTTGCGAAGTTTGGTGTGCGGAATATCATTGTGTACAAGAATGGCTACGCCTCCGCTGCGGTGCGCGCCAGGGCGGTCTTGCCTGTACACCTGATAGTTCCTCACTTTGAATTTATCCGTGTTAATCAAAAAGGTCTCATTAATTGCCATTACGTCAACCGAGTGAGTTGTCAGAAAATGTATAAGTCCGGTTTGTTTGTTACGCAGGGAATTGGCATTCCACTGCACTAGGTTTATGTGTCGTTTTGTGGCTATGAACTATATGCCGTACTTGCCTATGTTTGCAGCGAAGTTGCGGAATGCAGCAAGTTTAGCAAGTGGGTCTGATAAGGGCTGTAGTATCTCATTCAAGTCACGGATCGCCGCTAGCATCCCGTCTAGGTTTACAAGTTGGTTCAGGCGGCCGAACTCTGAAATCAAACTGTTAAATGTTTGTTGTTGATGGTATTGAGACTTATCATTGTCAGCAGTCCTGGACGTCGCGGTGTGTTGCCTTGTTTGGGTGTTGGTTGGTTCTGCAGCGGCTGCTTTGGCTGCGCGTGTTGTCCAGTAGTTCTGGGCTGGCGGTGGTGCTTCGGTCCATTTGTTGTTTGTGGCTTTGGCGTTTGTATTTTTGGGTTTCTCGAGGGCGTTGACTTTGTAAATGTAGCTCTCGCATTCCATGGAGGTAGATTTGTGCTCGCCGTCGCAGTTTGCACATTTCTTCTTCTCGTCGGCGCCCAAGATACATTCCCTGGACCAATGGTTGCCAGCGCACTTCATGCACCGTATGGTACGCTGGCAATTTGACGTGGCGTGGCCCCATTGCTGGCAGCGGTGGCATTGTATCACCCTCCTCGTCTGTTTTCGAAGCTCCCAGTAGACCCGGGTGTTCAGGATGTGTCTTATGGTGCCGTTGAGGTATTTGATGGTTACGTCTTGGTCGGTTACCACCATATATAGTGGTCTTCCCTCTGTCTGTAATTTAAACAATTTATGTATTTTTAGTTGATGTTCTGACTCGAGATCTGCTTGGATCTCGGCCAGATCGAGGCCGCGGCCGAGACCGCGGAGTACGAACGCGTGGGTTTTGTTATCGCTGTGGGTATATGTGTGAAATTGGGTGCCATCGAGTTTGAGAGTTTCTATAATTGCGTTATAGTCCTCGATTGATTGAGTGTTTACTACGATGTTATAGCGAGTGTTTTTGATTGTGAAATCTTTTTGGCATTGTTCGCGAAGGCTTTGTACGAACTCTTTGTGGTTTACGACTTCACCCGCGATCACTATCGGTGGCTGGGGGGTCTTTTTGGTTTTGTTGTTTTGTGTTTGTGTTTGTGGGTCGTTCGGATTTGAGGAATCCGTTTGGACTTTGGCACTAGTGGTAGCGTTTGTTTGGGTGGCTTGTTTGCTTTGGGTGAAGTTAGGAAGGTGCTCGAACCGGTTTTTTAGAGGGACTGAGGTCGCGGCGCGGTTTTGCCTTTTTGCGACTTCACCGACTGGGATTGTCTTCTTTGGGGCCACGAAACCGTCTTTATCGGTGGTGGGATTTTGGGTAATTGGGTCGGCACCGGTGCCAGTTGCACTTTTGGGGACGTTTGTTAGGCTGGCACTGGCGTTGTCCGCTATTTCCATGTCGCTTGATGGTGGTGGCACTTGTTCATTGTTGCCGGCTGGAGCGGTGTTACCGGGAGGCAGTGGGTCCTCACCGGTGTTGTCGCCGAGTTGGTGCAGCTCGGTGTGTGCTGCCATTTTAGCCTGCTTGTTGAGCAGGTCGGCAGCGTTGTGCAGCTCCCAGGCGCTACGAAACGCGGCGAGTGGTGGGCTGGACTGCTGTCTTTCCCA